CCCCAATGCCTCACTTCTCCTAGTTTGCATTTGTGCTCCTTCTGATTCTTTCTGCTCCTTTACCTTTGTGCTCGTAGTGTCCCTTTCTGCTCCTTGCAGACCCTTCATTCTCCTTGCAGACCCTTCCTGCTCCTTGCTATAGGCTGCCCCCATGCTTCACTTCCCTGATCTATAGGCTGCCCCCCATGCCCCACTTCCCTGATCTATAGGCTGTCCCATGCCCCCACTTCCCTGATCATATAGGCTGTCCCATGCCTCCTTCCTGCTCTATAGGCTGTCGCATGCCTCCTTCCTGATCTATAGGCTGTTCCCCATGCCTCACTTCCCTGATCTGTAGGCTATCTCTGCCTCCCCATGCCTCACTTCCCTGATCTGTAGGCTCTCTCTCCCCCTCCATGCCTCACTTCCCTGATCTGTAGGCTATCTCTGCCTCCCCATGCCTCACTTCCCTGATCTGTAGGCTGCCCCCGCCTCCCCTTTCTGGTCTATAGGCTGCCCCCATGCCTCACTTCTCTGATCTATAGGCTGCCCCGCCTCCTTCCCTAATCTATAGGCTGTCCCCCTATGCCTCACTTCCCTGATCAATAGGCTGCCCCCCGTGCCTCACTATCCTGATCTATAGGCTGCCCCCATGCCTCACTTCCCTAATCTATAGGCTACCCCCCATGCCTCACTTACCTGATCTGTAGGCTGTCTCTACAATCTAGGAGTTGCTGGCTGCACTCTGTGCTGCTCCCCTGCGGATTCAGTCAGGAGAGAAGCAGAGATAAGATGTAGCTTCTTATTCCTGTCTCTCTCCATACACAGCGCCACCTACTGGCCAGCACCGTAATGCACTGTATTTTTGTAGCGTTACTTACCTTATCCAGGGGCCGGCCGCGGTCCTCTCTTCGAGCCGCGCGCGGTCCTGCTGCTGCACGAGCCGCGCACGGCTCATTCGACGGCTTCAATAGGAAGGCGGGCAGTGACCGCAAGAAGCGGTCGCGTGTCCCGCCTGAATCTAAGAGCGCGCCGCGAGTCTCGGGCGCGCTCTTAAAGAGACAGTGGGAGCGTAAATTGTTAAAAGGCTCCCATTGGCCCCTGTCATGCCACACTCCCCATACACTTACCTTTTGGGGGTGTGGATATGACAGGAGCCAATCACATTAGTTTAGAAGCTATTTAAACTTACCTCTCCCTTTACTCCCTGCCCTATCGTGGTTTCTGTTTCAGTTCCCTTTAGCGCTTGTTGTGTTCAGTTGTGTTTTCTCCGTATTGACTTTGGCTTTGTTTCTGACTACGTTTTCTCTTTATCCTTATCTGTTCTGGTTGTCGGCTTCCTGTTTACTGTGTACCAGACCCCGGCTTGTCCTAGTTTACGCTGTCTCTCTGTGTCCTTGACTTCGGATCGTTCCTGACTCTGCCTCCTCTCATATACGTCGAGTCCGGCCATTCTAAGGTCCGGTAGACGTATCTCTCCTCTGTGTTGTCTTCTGTTTAGCTGAATCCTGCGTGTTGGGGTATATTCTCGTTACATTATGATAGGGCCATGGACCCCGCAGATTTGAATCAGCAAATTGCTTCTCACGAGGCAAGGTTTGTAGAGCAGGATCACCGTATGGATCAGATAGCACAGGCTCTCCAGACGCTCTTGTCTAGAACTATTCCTGCAACCGCACCTAACCCTCCTGCACCTCATCCTCCCGAAGTATCCAATTCACCGAATACTTCGCCCCATTTAACACCCCCTCCTAGGTATGGAGGGGAAGCTATGACATGCAAAGGTTTTATTAATCAAATAGAATTCCACCTTGAGATGTATCCACATTCCTTTCCCACTGATAGGTCTAAAGTGGGGTTTTTGATGCATCAACTTACTGACAAAGCACTTGAGTGGGCAAATCCTATTTGGGAGGCCAATGGACCTATGGTGCATAATTTCAATAGCTTTCTTACGGCTTTTCATAGAACTTTTGACACAACAAAAAGGTCAAAGAATGCTGCAAGAGCATTAATGAGAATTAAACAGGGTTCTAGGTCTGTGGCTGATTATGCTATTTAGTTTCGTACCCTTGCTTCACAGGTAGATTGGACCAATAATGGGTTAACTACTGCGTTCATGGAAGGTTTATCTGACACTATATTAGATGAGGTAGCAGCAAGGGAGCTTCCTATTCCATTAGAGGACCTTATTGACTAGCTCATTGATATAGATAATAGGATTTGTGACAGGCTCTATACCAAGAACAGGAATAGACGTGTGGTCACACCTACTAACCCCAGAGTTGATAAACCTGAGAGTGTTAAAGTAGGAGGAACCCATGCAATTAGGGGTTGCCAAACTCTCGGATACTGAAAAATTACTTAGAAGAAGGAACGGACTCTGCCTATACTGTGGTAGGCGAGACCATATGGTAAAAGAATGTCCTTTGCTTCCGGAAAACTCTCGCACCTAAGACCTTATAGGGGACTGGCCTTGGGTGTGATATCTAAGTCTCCTAAATTGCCTCCTAACCGTTTGCTTCTCCCTGTTTCCCTTCATACGGGAGAGAGTTGTATAGCTGAAAGCATACTAGCCTTGGTTGATTCCGGGGCTGCTGAGAACTTCATTGACTCTGAGTTTGTTACGAAAAATAACATTCCCGTCAGAGAGAGGGAGATACCCTTGGCCATTGAGGCCATAGATGGTAGACCTTTAAATACTCCAGTCGTTACCCATGAAACTGTACCATTATTCATGTACACAGGGGTTTTACACTTTGAGACCATTCGGTTTCAGGTTATCACCTCTCCCTCTTCTCATATCGTGTTAGGGTACCCATGGTTATGTTCTCACAATCCCATTTTCGACTGGGAATTGGGACAATTAAAATCATGGGGTAAAACCTGCCACGATTCTTGTATGATTAAAGTCACCCCTTTAAATACCATTAATGTTCCTACTACTCCTCCTTTGTCTACTGTTATACCTCCTCAGTACTTGTTTCTTAAAACTGTATTCGATAAAAGGGAAGCTGATAAATTACCGCCTCACAGATCCTATGATTGTGCTATCGATTTATTGCCTGGCACTATACCTCCGAAGGGCAGGGTGTACCCTTTATCTATTCAAGAAAACGGTATCATGGAGGAGTATGTTAAAGATTCGCTAGAAAAGGGGTTCATTAGGAGATCCTCTTCTCCGGCTGGAGCAGGGTTTTTCTTTGCATCTAAGAAAGAGGGTGATTTAAGACAATGCATCGATTATAGAGGTCTAAACAAAATTACTATCAAAAATGCATACCCTATACCTTTAACTACAGAATTATTTGACAGGCTGAAACATGCTACTGTGTTCACCAAATTGGACCTTAGAGGTGCATACAATTTAATACGCATAAAGGAAGGTCACGAATGGAAGACTGCATTCAACACTAGATCCGGGCATTACGAGTATACTGTTATGCCATTTGGTCTTTGCAATGCCCCAGCAGTATTTCAGGAATTTATTAATGACGTCCTAAGAGACTTTATTCACACATTTGTAATTGTATACTTGGACGACATACTGATATATTCTACAGATTTACACACTCATCACAGACATGTCACAACGGTCCTGAAGACCCTTCTCACTAATGGTCTTTATTGTAAACTAGAAAAATGTTTATTTGACCAATCCGAAGTCCAGTTCTTGGGGTATTTGATTTCCGCCAAAGGGTTTCGTATGGATCCCCAGAAGCTTTCTGCTGTCATAGAGTGGCCCCTACCACAGGGTTTGAAAGCAATTCAGCGTTTTCTTGGTTTCTCTAACTATTATAGACGCTTTATTAAGGGTTTTTCTTCTATTGTAGCGCCTATCACCCGTATGACAAAAAAGGGTGGTAATACTTGTGTCTGGTCTCCCGAGGCACTTAAGGCTTTTGACTTTCTTAAAACTACATTCGCCTCTGCACCTATTTTACAGCACCCTATTCCCTCACTGCCTTATATTCTTGAAGTTGATGCTTCTGAGATCGGGGTAGGTGCTGTTTTGTCCCAAAGAGAATCACCTGAAAAGCCATTGCATCCTTGTGGCTTCTTTTCTAGACAAATGTCCAAAGCTGAAAGGAATTATGATGTGGGTAATCGTGAACTCCTTGGTATTATCTTAGCTCTTAAAGAATGGAGACACTTGTTAGAAGGAACTAAGGATCCTATCCTCATTTTTATGGATCACAAGAATCTATCCTACCTTGGTGAAGCTAAAAGATTATCTTCTAGACAGGCTAGATGGTCACTATTTTTGTCCCGTTTCAATTATATTATCACCTATAGGCCAGGTGATCGCAACATTAAAGCAGACACTCTGTCCAGACAGTTCGAAACTACTGACAAACAGGAGATTGATGTTACTCCTGTCATTCCCCCAGACAGGATAATAGCTACTACTATGTTGTCTATTTCTTCATCCCTCTTGCAGACCATACAGGCGAAACAAAGTATGGCACCTAGCGAGAGGCCTATTGATAAATTGTTTGTTGATGTTCCCGAGAGATGGGAGATTCTGTCATTATATCATGATACTAAGACTGCTGGACATCCTGGTATTACCAAAATGATGTCAGCAGTTTCTCGATATTTTTGGTGGGGTTCCTTACGTAAGGATGTCACTGACTATGTAAGTGCTTGTACTACTTGTGCATGTATGAAAACGTCTCGTAGAGTTCCTTGTGGGCTTCTGCATCCCTTACCCGTTCCCGAGAAACCTTGGTCTAACCTATCCATGGATTTTATTGTTGAATTACCCCCTTCGAATGGTAACACAGTCATCCTGATGATAGTAGATCGGTTTTCCAAGATGGCTCACTTTGTGTCTCTTCGCAAGTTGCCCACATCCAAGGAACTGGCTCTTATCTTCGCTAGAGAAGTATTTCGGTTACATGGTATTCCTGTATCTATTGTGTCCGATAGGGGTAGCCAATTTATTTCCAGGTTCTGGAAAGCCTTTTGCTCAGAAATGGGTATTTCTCTCTCATTTTCTTTCGCTTACCATCCCCAGTCTAATGGAGCTGCTGAATGTGCCAACCAGTCTCTGGAGCAATACCTTCGTTGTTTTGTGTCTCACCATCAGGACAATTGGTCTGACCTACTTCCTTGGGCTGAGTTTGCTCGGAATAACGCCACTCATGATTCTTCCGGCAAAAGCCCTTTTTACGTTGTCTATGGCCAGCATCCCGTTGTTCTTCCGGCTGCATTCTCCTCACAGGGCATGCCAGTTCTGGATGAGCATTTGGCTGGTTTGCATAATACTTGGGAGCAGGTTCAGCGTTCTTTGGTGGATTCCGCTGCTCGCCAGAAGGCTCAGGCTGACAAGCATCGCAGAGCGGCTCCTTCTTATGTTGTGGGGGACAGGGTTTTGCTTTCCACGCGGAATATTCGCCTGCGGGTGCCTTCTATGAAATTGGCTCCCCGCTTCATAGGTCCTTATCGTATTCTGCATAAGGTTAATCCTGTTTCATATGCCTTGGGTCTTCCTAGGAATCTGTGTATTCCTAATGTCTTTCACACCTCGTTGTTGAAGCCTTACGTACGCAACCGCTATACCCGGCATTCTCCGCCTCCCCCTCCTGTCTCCGTGGAGGGTCATGAGGAATTCTAAGTCTCTGCTGTTCTTGACTCTCGTTACCTTAGGGGTCGACTTCAGTACTTGGTGCATTGGAAGGGTTATGGGCCTGAGGAGCGCAGTTGGATTTCAGCTGATGCTGTTCACGCTCCCCGCCTTGTGCGTTCTTACCATTCTCGTTTTCCTGCCAGGCCTGGCCCTACCCGCCCGGAGGGCGTGTCCTCGGGGGGGGTACTGTAGCGTTACTTACCTTATCCAGGGGCCGGCCACGGTCCTCTCTTCGAGCCGCGCGCGGTCCTGCTGCTGCACGAGCCGCGCGCGGCTCATCCGACGGCTTCAATAGGAAGGCGGGCAGTGACCGCGAGAAGCGGTCACGTGTCCCGCCTGAATCTAAGAGCGCGCCGCGAGTCTCGGGCGCGCTCTTAAAGAGACAGTGGGAGCCTAAATTGTCAAAAGGCTCCCATTGGCCCCTGTCATGCCACACTCCCCATACACTTACCTTTTGGGGGTGTGGATATGACAGGAGCCAATCACATTAGTTTAGAAGCTATTTAAACTTACCTCTCCCTTTACTCCCTGCCCTATCGTGGTTTCTGTTTCAGTTCCCTTTAGCGCTTGTTGTGTTCAGTTGTGTTTTCTCCGTATTGACTTTGGCTTTGTTTCTGACTACGTTTTCTCTTTATCCTTATCTGTTCTGGTTGTCGGCTTGCTGTTTACTGTGTACCAGACCCCGGCTAGTCCTAGTTTACGCTGTCTCTCTGTGTCCTTGACTTCGGATCGTTCCTGACTCTGCCTCCTCTCATATACGTCGAGTCCGGCCATTCTAAGGTCCGGTAGACGTATCTCTCCTCTGTGTTGTCTTCTGTTTAGCTGAATCCTGCGTGTTGGGGTATATTCTTGTTACAATTTTCAATCCCACACGAAAAATAGCAGAACAAGCTGAAAAATCCAGGGTGGGGGAGGGGGAGGGAGCAAGGTTATACCAAAGGATAATATTGATAATTTGGAAAGGAAACTCCTACCTTATCACATTGTTGAAAGGCTTTTCGCTAGTTACGCGAAGAAGCCTGTCTCATACAAACCTCTTGAGAATTTAACCAAAAAATTGGAAAGATTGTATCCAAAGACTTATTATGCCATCATAACCACTAAATAGGTTGTAGTGGTTATGGTGCTCAGATAAATAAATGCGACAATAAAATAAAACTTAATAATGCCGTAATTGTTAAACATAAATACAAATGTATTGTAAAACATGAAAGGCTTATAGACCACCAAAGTGATACACCGTTATTTTAAATCCTCAGCTTTAGCTCAGAAAAACAAATGTTATTTAATGTAATTATTGTAATATCAATGCACTATCTTTCATCTCTCAAGGCAGACGGTTTTTGAGAAGACAATTTTAAGTACTTTATAGAACATCATCATAATAATTTCTTTTGAAATGTTCGCTGTTGTAATTGTATAGTAACTGTTATATCTTATATTCCATTATAAAATAGAAGTCATGGATTTTAGCAATGCAATGGTGTTGTTAGATAACTTTAAAATTATTTACAGAAGACATTTATCCGCAATGTATTACATATCACTGTGGGTGTCTATATTATAAGTATAACCCTTATGTATAAACATATGAAATGTGCATGTTTTGTATATGTATATGTAAATGTATATCCTTGTAAGGACTTGAATACTCAATTTAAAATTCTTTGTTACTGCACAGATACAAGATGCAAAGATACAATAAGATATTTGAAAATATACCTTAAGTTTTTGAAACAGAAAGTAACCATGGCAACATTAGATAAGAATAAGTTTACTTGAGAAGGGGGCAAAAACATAGAGAGAAAGCCACCATGCAGGACAATAAGTACAATCATGGGAAGCCTGGGGTCAAATATTCAATTTTGATCATATCATGATGGTAATGTCACTTACGGCTTTTGTCCCAGCTACGGTTTGCCCAGATCCCTCTGTCCCTTTTTTCTATCTAATGTCCCTCTTTTCTCAGAGCTTCGTATTGTTAGTGTGTCTGAATGTATAACAGAGCTCCACAACATTAATACTCTCAGTAATGTGTCTATAAACTACAATCAATGTGTTTAAAAATCAGTCTTTGTAAATAAGACACAATGTTCTTGCTCTAAATTACATTTTAGTTGCATTAATTGTTACTAGTAAGTCACATAAAATTTCTCAGAAGAGCGCACCCCTGGCCACATCCCCACTCACACCCCTAAACTTAAAGTGTTCTCTTCGTTCATTTGAAAAGTTACAAGGTATTCTGTTCGGTTTGGCGTCAAGATGTCAACCCATGCTTGAGCTTTCGTGAGATAAACTACAACTCTTTCATTGCTTACAAATCTAAGTGTGCCCTGCAGGACATCTAATAGTGGATACATCCCACATGCATCGTGTCTCTCTTCAATATACTACCACCATTTCAATTGTATGCAAATAGATTGAAGGAGAAATGTGGTCTATAAAAGGCCTGGGGTCCTACAGGATTCATTTGCAAAATATGTTTTTTATTAACTTTTTTCCAGCCTTTTATCATCGATGTGTTTGCTGACTGTCCAAGAAATATGTGACTAAAATTGTTCACGTTTTGCGCTTACGTAAAATAAAAATCAAATATCCAACTAAAACTTGTTTTATTTGTTTTATTTTTATTTGTCATGTTTTATAATTTTTGCTGAAGAACTTTTCGCAGCTCTTCTGCTGAGGTAAATAAGGCACTAAGCTAGGCCTTGGCTATTTTGAAGGTCCTCTAAAGCATTGTCAGAATGTTAAATATCATTCCGTGCCTAAGCCAGTCATTTTTTTTAAAATATTCATGTGCGGTGTGACATTTTGCTGACCTCATCGAGCTTCACAGCAGAGGAAGATTTACATTTCCATATTACTACCTGGAAGGGAAGCCCACAATTTTAAACAGTGATGCAATTTTTGGCACTGCAGAATCTGCAGCTCTGGTCTAATTGTGTCATTTAAGAACCTGCACTGGAAACCACAATTAACCTTATAAAAAGTGGAATACATTATTATAATAATTATTATTCAGAGCAATATTTTCATGAATACTGCATAAGATATTTTAACAATTGGATCTCAAGCTAGTTAATTATTAATAGCAAAATGTTTCTTAATTAATTTAAATCCTGTGGACAGTTTTCAATATGATGCAAGTTTTTCTTAGCATTTCAGCTCAATTAAGTGCCCTATGTGTGAAGAGTTTATTATTATTATTATTATTATTATTATTGCCATTTATATAGCGCCAATAGATTCCGTAGCGCTTTACAATATTATAAGAGGGGGGATTTAACTATAAATAGGACAATTACAAGACAACTTACAGGAACAATAGGTTGAAGAGGACCCTGCTCAAACAAGCTTACATTCTATAGGAGGTGGGATGTAAAACACAATAGGACAGGAATTCGCAATCAAATGAGGTGGGAGTGAGGCAGAGCTGGAGGAGAGAGTAGAGTGCTGCCCTTTAGGAGAGAGCAAGAGGCAGGTGTGTAAGGTAGAGGTTACTCTGGGAGGCCATAAGCTTTCCTAAAGAGATGGGTTTTAAGGCACTTCTTAAAAGATGCAAGACTAGGGGAGAGTGTGATGGCAGTAAGCAGACTATTCGTTAGGAAGGGAACCACCCGTGAGAAGTCCTGCAGGTGTGAGTTGGCTGAACGGGCGCGAACTACGGACAGGAGAAGGTCACGGACAGAGCGGAGAGACCGAAAAGGGACATACCTATGGATCTGTGAGGAGATATAAGAGGGGCTTTAATTTTCCAAACGGTGCAGATTTCAATAGAAATGAGAAAATTTATCTTTTAACACTCCCCGGTTGTCAATCAAACAACTGGTCCTGTTACTTCCTGTTTTTTTAGATCAGTTGAGCAACCCGATTTCAAAAACTTCTCATTTAGCTGCATTAAAAAGTCTGTGATTGGACAGCCGCAGAAAGTCTGGTCGGGTTTGGCGAGGGCTTGCAAAAGCTACAGACAACAGATCTGCAACTTTTGCAAACTGTTTTTAGATACGCTCCCAAGAAGAAATGTATAATTAAATGCATGCATGTTTTCATAGGAAGTATATCTATTAAACAGTAATTTGAAAAAAAAAAAGTCAATGGATTGTCCTTTTAAGTAGCAAATAGTGTATTTAACCTCAAGTGATTTACTGTTCCTACCAAAACCAGACAAACTCGTTTTTCCTGGCACTATGTAGTCCTTAGGTCCCCCCCCCCCCTCACCCTCATGGTTAGAACCCCTTCAGCCACTTACCTCTCCTCCTCCTGCCGACGTCAGTGCCGAATGCGCTTGCATGGCAAGAGCCAAGGGCGCATTCATACCGCCCATAGGAAAGCATTACTCAATGCTTTCCTATGGACGTCAGCGTCTTCAGTGAGACAGCTACAAGAGGCTGGATTAACCCTCAGTGTAAACATAGCAGTTCTCTGAAACTGCTATGTTTGCAGTTGCAGGGTTAAAACTAGAGGGACCTGGCACCCAGACCACTTCATTGAGCTGAAGTGGTCTGGGTGCCTATAGTGGTCCATTAACTCTACTCTACTGATTGCTTTGGTGTGCTTGATTATATGGCATTTCTGCTATCTAGCTGTCTTTCTGTAACCAATGGCTCAATCTGC